TAGATATATAGTTGCATTCTCTTAATGAATAGAATGATTTGTTCTAATGGTGTTTGTAAATAGGATCTCAAGTCCGCATCTTGTACAGCAATTAACCTCTAAGAAGAATATATGCAGTGTAGTATTTGTTGAAACTGTACTTTCGATTTGATTTGAAACTGTCTCATTGCTATCTGTTAATCAATTAAATTTAAAAAAAAATAAAAATAAAATCATACAACAGCTATACAGGGCACCCTTGTTTATAGCAGCACCATTTGTCATAGCTAAATATTTTAAACAACCCAAATGGCCTTCACTTGAGGAATTGATAAAAACAATGTGGTATTTTATACAATGAAGTTTTACTCAGCTTTTGATATGATACTCCTGAGCCTTTAATAGGTGTGTGGATATTCCTGGAGGTTATGATCAAAAATGAAATATATCAGACCTACATGTGTAAATATCAAATTGTCTCACTACTGTAAGAACCAGAAAGAAAAACTAAAATCTGAACAGCTCAATAGCTATAATAAAATGGATAGAAACTGGACATAAGTAATAAATAATTGAGATGTGGGAAAAGACAAAAGATAGGAAGAAATTAAAGGAGGAAAACATGTAAGTATATATGCAAGATAGCTGAGATGATTGTGCTACTGATTTTCATCAGGCTGATAAAAGTAGCAGTTAATGCTTAAAATATTTACTTTCACTGTTATCTATACTAATGTCTGTAATCTGCACACCTTCAATAAGGAAAGCAATGTGCAATGTAACATCCATGGTTGAATAACTTTCATGTTATTATTTTAAAACTGTATCATCTCTAGTATCTTGTCCATTATTTTTACACAATCCATTCAAATTAAATTAAAAATTAAAATGTGAAAAGTACACAAAAAAGTAAGGGTTATTGAAAAGAAGAGTAAATGTATAATTGTTTGATCAATCGTGTATGCCTATATTTGGTAACCTGAGCAACAAATTTGTTTTTTTAAATTAATTTTATCGAGAAACAAATAGCAATGAGAAAGTTTCAAAACAGGTTAGTAGAACAGTTACAATAATTAATACATTGCATACTGTTGTCTTTATAGTAGTTATTTATAAGATGAAGACATGATATCCTGTCCAAACACTAGTAGTACGAATCTTTCTTCTTGTAGAATTAAGAGAAAGTAGCTGTATATCTAGTTTAATTATTTTGTATATATGGATACAAAATGGTCCTTAATTTATAACCCCTTTTTGTTTAGTTTCGTCAGTGATGGGTATTCCATTGTCATTTAAATATTGTAGGTGCATGAATTCAGCAAAATGATCCAATATAGTCCAGTAGTCCATAATAGTAGTGGATTTTCCATAAGACTGGGAATGTCAGAAGTTGTTGACTTGAGCCTTTCACAGCTCAGCATATTAATATGACTTTACTTTTTGTACCTCATTTTTATACTTTTCTGCTGGATGGTTAAGACCAAGATAAAGCAAGACCTATGTAATAAGAAATGTAACTTTTGTATCTGCCATGGTCAGTCAAATCCCCTCAGAACTTACCCTGAAATCCTGCACCACAGTTTGTAGATCTTTTATCATTATCAGCCATGAGGATGAGTCACAGCCATTGCTTGACCAATGTGCCCTCTGTGAAAGCCTGAGAGAATGTTTTCTCTCCATGTGACTTGCCTCAGGCACACTCTACATCATCGATCACTTTCCTCTGTGGCTCCATAGTCTCCTTGATCAGAAAATTTGGGACACTACTGAGTTACAGGATTTACAGTACAGGTTCTCCTATGTTCTGAGTCCTCACTGACCATGAAAGGCTAAGGCCAAAACATTAGCTGTCCTTGCAGCCCTTCATTTTCTCTAATTTTTGTGCTATTTTTATTGTGTTGTGTAGCTTTGTTTTTGTCCTTATTCTTGTTCTTTCTTTTGTTCTTTAACATA